CCTTCTAGTTTTGTTAGCAGAAGTGGGGATGGAATACAGGACTTGTGGGTGACACACAGACACCCTACACTAACCCGGGTCCTCAACTTTCTCTCCTCCTCCTCTTTCACACATTATTTTTTAAAGATTTATTTATTTCATTTACATGAGTACATTGTCGCTGTCTTCAGACACACCAGAAGAGGGAACCGGATCCCATTACAGATGGTTGTGACCCACCATGTGGTTGCTGGGAATTGAACTCAGGACCTCTGGAAGAGCAGTCAGTGCTCTTAACTGCTGAGCCATCTCTCCAGCCCCCATCTTTCACACATTATATCCCTACTTCATTTTCTCCTCACTCCATTCATCTCAGCCCCCTGCCCTACCCCCTCCTCCGCTCCTCTTCCCCACCCCACCCCAATCCCTTCTGAAAAGGGCAGGCCTCCCAGGGATATCAAACAAGTTACAACAAGACTGGGCACAAACCTCATTTTTCGAGACAAGGTTTCTCTGTGTAGCCCTGGCTGTCCCGGAACTCACTCTGTAGTCCAGGTTTGCCTGGAACTCAGAAATCCACCTGCCTTTGCCTCTCGAGTGCTGGGATTAAAGGCGTGTGCCACCACTGCCTGGCTAAGACTTTTTTTCCTAGAACTTAAGAGCTACTTTTAGGAGCTTGACTATGTGTTTGGGAATATGTTGGAGAGTTTATCTTCCTTCACTCAGCTTTCCTGAATCTGCAGCTGTATACTGCAGGGATGCTGTCAATAAAAATTACCATTATTTCTTCACTTACTTTTAGGCTCAGGTATCTGATCCCTGCCTCTCCCCCCCCCCCCATCTCTCTAGCTGGAGGCACTGTTTAGGGAGGTCATAAGACCTGTGAGAGGTGCAACCGTGCTGGAGGGAGCAGGTTAATGGGCTTAGGCTTTGAGCATTCAGAGCCTTGCCTACCCCACTTCCAGGCTGTTCTCTGGTTGAAGATGCAATTCCTCCACTTCCTACTCCGGTCTCTACCACCACATGGCCTCTCCCTCTAGAACCTCAGGCCAAACCAAACTTTCGGAGTTGCTTCTGGTCATGGGGCTTCATCACCACCATGAAAAGTGACTAAGACAGCTGCCTTCTTGCCTCAGCCCCACGAATGTATAATTTTCCTCGAAGCATTTTTTTATACAGGCACCTTTGAAATCCTTGTCAGATAATTGTAACATCTGGGTCATCTTGATGCCAGAGTCTGTAAATCATCTTTCCTCCGTTGGCCTGAGATGTCCTTGTCCTTGGTATGATGGGAGGTTTTCAGCATTACGAGTGCCTGAGTTGTTGTGACCTGCACTTCAGTCGTCACCTCCTGCTACAGACATTTTTACTTAACCAATAGTTTTAAATTAAGGAACAAGGTTTCCTCCACAAAAGCTTTTAAAGGCAAGGATTCACTCGGTAGGCCTAGACCTTCAGGTACAGAATTTAGCATTACAATTCTCAGCAGCAGACCAAACCTCAACAATTCAGAGTTCCTAACTGACTTGAGCTTTCAATCTGCTTCTCTGAACCTTCCTGTGCTTCTTAATAAAGCCCGAGGGTTTCACTGTACTTAGCAGAAGAAATGGGGGAAAAGACAGTCGGTCTTTCATACCTCGGAATCTTTGGATTCAGCCAAAAATGGATGAAAAACAGTATTAGTCCTGGCACTATGGAGGGAGAGGAAGGCTGATCTCTGTGAGTTAGGGGCAATCCTGGTTTTCACAGCAAGTTCAGCCGGGGGTACATAGTAAGCATTGTTTCAAAAAATGTAATTAGAATCTAGCCTAGAGGGGGAGGGGCATGTGAGGCTCCACCCCTCCCGAAGCGTTACTGGTTGTTAAAGCTGTGCACCACCATGCCCAGATAGTTTCTCCTTCCCAACCATAGTTCTGGTCAGGGATCAAACCCAGCTCTTTGCGGTTGATTTGTGGAGTTTCTGCCCCTTGGTTGTACCCTGCTATGTTACTACTTTTGGGAGGCAGTACAGGGTTAAAAGTAGGTCCTTGCACATATTAGACAAGTTCTCTACCACTGAGCCACGCCCTGAGCCACGCCCCCAGCCCCTCACTGGGGGATTCTAGGCAGGAAGAATATTCTACTCTTCTACTGTACTCCCAGGCCCCAATTTTTTTTTTTTCAAGACAGGGTTTCTCTGTGTAACTCTGGCTGTCCTAGAACTCACTCTGTAGACCAGTCTGGCCTCGAACTCAGAAATCCGCCTGCCTCTGCCTCCCAAGTGCTGGGATTAAAGGCGTGTGCCACCACCGCCCGGCTCAGGCCCCAATTTTTTATTTCAGGGAATGGCCTTTTCTCATTAAATTGCTGAAGCTTGTCTTTAAATTACTCTGTAACCTAGGCTGATCTTGTACTTTTGATCTTCCTGTTTCTACTTCCTGAATGGTTGGGAAAACAGTCCTTCTACTCCTCACCCTTTTCACCTCCCCCTCCGCCCCAATTTCACTATCTTCTGCAGTTCTTCTTAACTCTTTCTGATTCTGTGTCCCTCAGGCTACTCCCATGTCTAGTGACAGGTATCATAGACAGCTTGAGAAGGACTACAGTAAAGCCTACTATTATGTAGAGGGCACAAGCCATTCATGTCCTCACAGACAGCACTGGAGAAACCAGGAGTCTTATAAACACGGGGGTGTCTCTTCTGTTTTCTACCCAGAAAGTTAGGGGTAGATGTTATTAATACATAACCTGGTGACTTTTGCTATCTGTAGAGCCAGACTTCACCCAAACCCCTCAGAATCTTTATCCCAGACTCTCCCTCCCTTGACCATATCTTTAGCTTTCAGTTAATAGAACTAATCCTTAGGGGAGATGTCATGTGTACCCTATATAATTTTGGAGCTCACTGTTCTCTACCTATCTCAGTCAGAGACCACACCAGATCCTAGGCCCTTAAGCCACAGAGCCCATCTTCATTGCCACATATACTTTGTAAAGGAGTTCACAGCCTCTTTGCCATTCAGTTTTCCTCCTGGCTATGAGTGACCCCTGAACTTCTGCAGTCATTGTTTCCTGACTAGTCATGACCTTGAAGACATTTTGTGCAGCACATTCCCTGGGCCTGTAGAACTGAGGTCAGCTCTGCCCTCCTGTTCCCTGCCTTCTGTAGAATTTGCATTGCTCTGGTGGCTGCTGCCTGGTGCTGCCACCAGTACACTTGCTGATTAGAAGACTCACGATACAAGTGACTCAGTTTCAGTCTCAAGACTTTCCCATTTGCAGGTCTGTCAGCCAGATGGGACCGTGGGTAAAAGTGGTTGTGGGCAAGCCTGACAACCCAAGTTCAATCCCTGGAACCCACATAAATATGGAAGGAGAAAGTTGACCACAGGTTGTCCTCTGATCCCTACAAAAGCACTAATGCAAACATACACACACACAAACATACACACCTCACAGACACACACACTCTACATACACAAACACACACACCACACATACCACACATATACACACATAACACACACATGCAACACACACACACTCACACACAATGCAACACAAACTACACAACACATACACAAACACACACACCATGCACAAAAACATACAACACAAACACACACAACACTCAAATACACACAATACACAAATATACTCTCACATGTCACACACATACCACACACATACACACTCACAAACACACACACACCACAAACCACAGACATACCACACACATGCCACACACACACTACACACATACCACACACATATTCATTAACAAACACACACAACACACAATGCACAAATACCACACACATACACCACACAGGTACAACACACACAAACACTCACACACACATACAGCACAACACACACAA